GTGAACGAGACCAATCAAAAGGGTGATATTCGGGGACAATCCTATAAAACTCCTGAATCTCAAGGACAACTAGTCTATTCTTCTCCGGACAAACGCCACCTCGCAGATCCAGGACCGTCGTCCGCCAGCGGATCACTCCCGTCCCAGCATCACCTCTAGTGCAACAGACACTTCGCCACCCAAGCCCCGAGGCTCGCATCTTCGGATCACGGACTGCAGCCGACCATCATCATCAAGCCGATCTAGATCGCATTGTTTATTGGCATTATGTAAGCTAACTTTATGTCAAAAATAAACGGGTTTTTGTAAGACACTTGTCATCTTTGTCTCCTGCCGCCTCCACCCACATACGATTCGCCCCTAGGTTTTACTCACGCGCAATTAACTTATTGTCCCTAAAAGTCGGCAACCTTACAGTAACCATTTGATCCATTGTCGATGATTATACAAAAACATTGATAATTTTGAAGCCATCGCATAGTACTTCACAGGGCAACAGAATACACCACAGATTACTAAAGGCATAAGCGTGTGAAGACAGTGTATGCATGTATAGTACTATACCTGCAGACAGCTACCACCTGCAATTCTTGACTGTTTTTAATACAAACAAATATTTTCGGGTAGAAATGGACAAATCAAATTGACATTTCGGGAAATTTTTTCCGATTGGGACGAATATTTTTAATTCAACCCTGAAATTTCCTATGTAAATGTAAGCGTCATTGAATTGGTTGTTAGTAGATATGATAAACTTTTTAAAACTACTGTTATACCTAATAATATGGTCCAGTATTTGTCATACAGCTTAGAAAGTTCCTGTATCATTTCGTTGAAATATATATCCGTAACGAATCACAACATCAAATTACTTCATACACGAATTCAAATTTTCTTTAAACTAGATCAAATTAAAAATGTAACGAAGCATATATATATGCTTCGTTACATTGAATAAATATTGAACAAACTGTTCTTTATTTATTAAGACGATATTTTCTATTTTATCGAAATTATTTTTTAAAAGAGCATCTTGTACAGACCTTAAAATATTTTCTGATTTTTATGTAAACATTACAGAATTTTAAAATAATTCTGAAAATTTGGTACTCAACTACATTTTTATATCTTAAGGGTGTACGTTTTGACGTCAATAAACATTGTATGTGGAAATCTAGCTTTACAGAATAAGGAAATTAACGTAAACATTCATGTATTCAATCATAAAGGAATTGTAATTTATCTGGTCTGAATTGTCTTGAGTCAAGCAGAATCTATTAACAAATCCAACAAAAACAATTAGAAGAGTATATTTTTACATCATTTTTTCAGAATCCTGGTAATACATTCGGAATTGTTTTGCAAATCACGCTAAGTAGCGTGTTACGTGAATTAATTACACGATTCAGCAAGAGCTTAATATTAAGTATGTAGCATGACTGTTCTAATTAATTATTCATCGCTTTACGAAGTTATTCTTCATTGAGTTTTTTCTGTTTTGCACAGTAATCAAAGTAAAGTATAATTTTCTAATAAACTTAATTTTGTGAAATTGGTATTTGAATTATCTGTCAATTCCTTCTATAATTAAAAAAATTAATAAATGTAGGATTAAAAAACTACGCAAAAAATCGTAATAGGTGAGCCTTGCTACCAAATGCACTTGGAGTTCACTCACGATGACTCTTCTACAGCCAACATACGTAAAATATTAATTTGAAAAACACAAATTGTACAGAATATTTAAATACAACTCTCGGTGAAATTGTAAAAAAGAAAAAAACAAGTACCCAACGTTTCATATTTTGAGCTAAAAAGCACTAAATGAAACTTTCATTTGGTGAAAAAACAGTGATAACTCGAATTTCATAGCACTAATCGTTATTTTAATATCAAATCGATAAATGCAATAACCGAAGTTTCCCTGTATATAAAATTATACGATGGTGGTTTCAACTTCTGTCCGGAATTTCATTAACACCGATGCAAATGGGTTTTACCATAATCCCAATTTATGTTCCTTTCTCTAGGTACTCCCCCTGTATACGCTGATACTTCTGTCGTTTTGGCTGTCGTCTGAGCCATTGCAAGACGAACTCTTTGAAGTCAGAGACATCAGCTCCGAATGAATCTCGTTTCCCAACGCTTTCTTCAAATGACCAAACAGGTGATAATCACACGGTGACAGATCCGGACTAGATGCCATCGATCCAGAAATCCGAAGTTTGTTGATCGCATCCACCGTAGTGTTCTGATACCATCTAATCTATACCATCTAAAGACTAATCTGCAGTCATACCATTACCAAAACGATAGAAGTATCATAGTGTAGAGGAAAAGTAGAGTACCTAGAGGAAAAGTAGAGTACCTAGAGAAGAAACAAACATAAATTGAGATTACGGTAATATATAGTTCCATCGCCATTACTGAAATTCCAAACAAAAGTTTAACTGTCCTTGTATATATAAAAATGCATTACTCGTATTCTTTTTATTTTTATTCTAAAAACGTATTTTATTTCATTTAAATAATTTTGCGAAATCATTTAAATGTTTTATGAGTTATTTTAAATGTTAAAACTTCTTCCCGTTATTATTACACTTATAACGGGTTATATTATCCATTACTTCCTATTAAAAATTATATTTAAATCACGTTGTTTAAAATTTATTATGACTAGATATGTATTCATTGATATTATAATTTCGTAATGGCAAAGTTTATGAATATTTTCATTTACTCACTTATCAGTTATAATGAAAAAACCAAAATACGAAAAATAAATTAGAGAATTAGGAGTGCCAAATTTCAGTATTACTGTTACAGTTACTAATTACGGATAGGAGATACAGCTATGAAATGATTCCATTTTTAAATACTGTATAGGAACTTTCCAAGCTATGTAACCAATATATGATATCATTAGGTATAGCATTTAGTAGTATACCAACAGTGATTTAAAACAGTTTATTAAATCGTGTAACTTCTCGCGGTTAGGATATAACCTCCAATTACATTTACATAAGAAATTTCCGAGCTGTATTAAAAATTTTTAATGATAATTCTAAAGAGTATACATCGTTGAATAATATGTGAATAGCAATTTAAAGCACGAAAGTTTATCAAATCGCCGTAACTGGTTAACTGGGCGAGAGTCGTTTTTACGTAGTAATGCTTATATTTATATAGGAATTTTCCGAACTCTGAAGAAATCTTTGATATAGGAAAAATCACTCTGCATATGAGGAGGGAAATAACGCTCAGATTATCTCATTAATATAATAGTAGTAATGAAAATTTATTTACGATAAAAATATAAATTTTCCGAACTGTGTGACAAATCTCTGACGGCAGCTACAATTTAATTGTGTATATCATTCAGTAGATAGTAGGTCTCTATGAGGAGAAGTTTAGAATACAATCAGTCTGATAACTCGTCACTGTTACGGAAATATGTCTGAGACACTTAGGATATACAGCATTATGTATATCCCAAGTTTAATTTATTAGGAATGCTTTCAGCCTATTTAAATGTAAGGAATGTAACCACCGGTATTAAACTGTACTAGACTGTTCCATCTATCGTAATTAATGTTATGAAATTTTATACTTGTTATGCTATGCTATTTGATACCAACAGTAAAAGTATTTAAAATGAAGCCGTCTATCGTTCACAAAGTTATTTATAAATCTAATTTAAATTATTTTAATGTGATACCCTTTTTTTTCCTAATTTCTTTTGTCCTAAATTCATCAAAATTTTATACTTTTCCCCCCCCTTCTTTGATTTAGAGAAAATGCAACTGTCTATTACTGTGAATCTTAAATATACAATTTACAAATTATATGCATACAGGCTTATAATTTGTAAGTTTAGGTAGATTTATGGCTTAATACAATTAAAGAAAACATTTATGCTATAATAACTATAAGGACTAACTTCATACGGTTATTTTAATATGGATTCGGTTTATTATAATTAAAATTTGAACAAACATATATTTTAAATAAATTAATGCATGCAAATTCACTTAAATTCTATAGTTCTTAAATTAGCCATCTGCAAAAATATGCTTAATTTTTTAAAATAATGTTTACAATAGCATTATTTTCTTTTAATTCTAAATTTGGAAATGGAGAATTCACAGGAAAAAATAATTAAATTTCTAAGCTAATAATTATCATCATCAACTATTATACTCTGAAAATAAAAAGTCTATAGTAATAATAATATTATATTAAAATAAATAATAGTAAAATTATTTTCAAAAAATAAGTCATCTTAAAAATAATAATTATTGCAAAAATATTGTTTACTGCAGATTCTCATGTTATGATTCAGATTAAAGTTAAAAATCTAATATCTGGAATATTTCAATTATCTAAATGCAATTGCAATATTATAGAAAAATAAATTTACATTTGTAACTCAAATAACTAAATCATAATTATCAACTTTTATAATTATATTAGCTACTTAAATTATAGACAAAAATAATCATTTTAACTAAAGTTTTTGCCAACAATTTTAATGAATTCTATTATAACAATCATCATCACAAGTTTTTTTATTCATTTATAAAAGATTCTTCCTTATAATTGCCTATTACTGTCAATTATTATATACTGTACAAAAGAGGAAACATTATTTATATGTAATCATCTGGGATATTTTAAAAATAAAACATAAAATTCATATAAAAACTAATCGGTTTGTATTCAAATCTTAAACATGATAGAAGTATAATAGCCTTATGAGTCATTCTATCACTGGCCGAAGGCCACGGCAGCAAAGGTGATCTGTTGCTTGAAGAGGCTTAATTTGAGTCCTTATGAATTTATTGTTACTTTTATTATTAATAATAATAAAAAATAACAATAAATTATTAAAATATCTTAACTAGATATGTTGGATCTCATTCTTTAATACTATTCCTCATATGATGGCTTTGATCAATTTGCCATCAGATGAGGAAGCCTTAATGAGCATGAAATATTACCCTTAAAAAAGTACTGTACTGTACATCAATTATTGTTGTTACTACAATTTTAGGAGTTTATCTGTAATATATAAAACATTTAAAAATTCAGTATATGTAAAGAATTTATTTTTTAAAGACATAAAAGTAATTAAAAAATTCATCTATATATATAACAAACATTCCAAAATTTCTAATATATTATAAATATTAACAATTATTAAATATCATAGATAAATGTATTTATTTTTCTTCCCCACTGAATTTTAAGCATATATAATTATAAAATTTTACAATTGTGTTTACAATCAGGCCCACATAGAGGAAATCCTGCAGGTCATTTAATCAAGTTTCCAGATACAGAAAAATCTCAAAATTTAGTATTTTTTTTTTTTACACAAAATAAAACACACACACACACACACACACACACAGTCTGAAGTGATATAAATTGAAATACTTTTTATAAATAGTGAAAAAGTTTTTATTTTATTTATACATTAAGGTTTGTAGAGAGAGCCAAACGCCTATATTTACAAAGTGTCCTCGCATCCCACAGTCACTGTTTATAACACATATATCACATAAGTTATTTTATTGTGTAATATTATAGCTTTCGGAAAAGGCTCCATATCCGCCAAGTCTCTCGGATCACCATTTATGTATTATAAATTGGGCCTCTTTCACTTCCTATTTATTATACAGTGAAAATATTCTACAAATTAAAAATATGCAAAGATATTTGTGTATTTTTAATTTATTGTATGTACTTTTATGTATAATGTTCAAGTTATGAATAAGAGGAATATTCAATGTAGATTTTATAAATGAATTTTACATTTTAATTTGAAATTTCCTGGTTAAGTATGTCAATAATGTTTCCTCTTTCATAGAATTAGTCATTAGTTGTTAATAGAAGAATAAATTATTCAATACTTTATTACATTTAGAAAGCGTGAGTGATATTAAACCTGATATACGAACAAAACTGACAAGTCATTAAAAATATATAAATAAAAAAAGTCGAATTCGGGTCAATACAAATTAACTACAATATGTTACCATGTTATTACTATGACAACACGTTATAAACAAACCATCATCTAACAATCGATCTTATAGGATAAAATTCAAATTTAAAAAAATTGCACGAAGATTATTAACGAGCGAAACCTTTTTTAAAAATTTTTTCTAAATAAAGTATTTATATACCTGACCCTATTATTCCATTAACCTGTAATAGAACACCGGTTTCTTTTTTGTCCTATGCGCTTGACGACATGTCAACGTTCTGAATAGCCGACGGAAGAAACCGTTCATAAACGTTGTTATTATTATTATTACTGTATTTTTTTTTAAGTTTTTTTTATATTTTAAATATTAAAATAGTTTTGATGTATATTTATATCGATTTTTTAAATCGGATAAATATTTTATGTATATAATTATCTTTTATGCAAATTTTAACGTATGATAAATTTTAATTACCTAGCGTTTTTTCCCCCGGGAGTTAAATATTTTAATTATTTATTTGCTTCCAGATATAATTTATAATTATCTGATCGTTTAAATAAATAAATAATTCAAAAGTTATTGCGCAATAAAGATAACGTTAGAATGCGTTATTTATACGGTGTTTTTTTTTTCTTCTTCTTTTTAACTCTTTCCGCCCTGTGGGCACTAAGAGGGCCTCTTTTTAGCAAGCCCATAATGGGGCGGCCGGGTTGATGACGAACGGGGCCCGACATATCCGGACGGACATCCCCACGAAAATTTCCTGGGGATTTATCGACCCGTCCGGATTCAAAGCAGGGTCCCCCAGAGCGGTAGGCTGACATCCGGCCGTCTAATACGATGTGTATTACGCGTAGAATGATTTAATTAGTGAAACAATACTTCAGTTAAACTAGTCAATTAGAATACTTTTAATCAAATTCCTAGATATTATTATTATTTTTGTTTAATCTGATTTTGATTTTCAAGGAATCTAATCTGTACTCGAACCCGGGTCCTTCACAGCGGTAGAAAGATGTCTTATTTATTCATCTATCTTTCTATCTATACATTTTAAAAATCTTTCTACTTTGGGAACTAAGAAGGTCTTTTTAACAATTTTACATGCCCACGATGGGGACAGAACCTGTCATATCCGAATGTCCTCCAAGAAATTCCTGAAATTCTTTTCGACCTATCCGGATTACATTCCAGGCTCCCACAGCTGTAGGCTGTAATTTGAACCCCTTGACCAACCGGCCGTCTTTCCGGTTACAGTATAAATAATTTATATGTATATATTGATTTTATGTAAATAAGGAAGATTTATACAGCTGTATTGATTTTAATGTTCTTCAAAACAATCCCTGATTTATTTTACATTCTAACATTGACAGACTAAAAATCGGGTCGTCGAACAAATAAACTAATGACGAAAGTTAAATTAATTGTTTCATCGAATAAATCTAGCTTGTAATTTTAAAATGCCGGCCTATCGCACTGAAGAAACTCAAACCCGAGTTTCTTCAGTGCGGTAATGATTTGGCTAAAAAGTTATAAGGGTGAGTTAACCCGAATATATCGGACCTGTTCAAAGCCACGCAACTACTTTTCATTGCCCAGGCCCATAATGAAAAGTGGTAGAGTGTAAAGGCCTTCTTAATACACACAGAGTGCCGGCCTGTTGGTCCCAGTTGTTAAGGCGTTGCTCTGGGATCCGGGATTATATCAAGGCGGTTGAAAAAAACCCAGTAATTTTGCTGGATGGTCTGTTCCAGATATGTCGGGCTCTGTCCTCATCTCCTTGTAAGCTTGGCTAAACTCACAATGGGCTTGGAAAAAGAGTGAAGAGTCCAAAAATACATATACACAGAGTGGAAAGAATTAAAATTAAAAAAAATAATATGATTAAACTTTATTATTTCTAGACTATTGTTTTCTCAATTTAACCAAATAAAATCCGATTTATGCAAATACTCGAGTTTCCTTAGTTACATTAAAACACATTCTCACGCAAGTCAGGAAAATATTGCATAAATGGTATTTTCGTGACTTGATGTGAATATCCATTGTTTGTTTTACTGTAAACGTTAAAAAGTAATATAATTTTAATATTGGAAGAGAAATAATTTAACTGTAAATATAATTACTGTATTAATGTTTTGATTAATTAATTAATTTTGATTATTAATCATTTAAGTAATTATTTTCCTCTCTGACGGCACTAAGTGGGCCTGTTTTAGCAAACTAATTTTAGGTTCACAATTAGGCAGCCGGGTGGTAATAAGCGGGATAATCCTGAAAAATTCTTGGGGTTTTTCAGTCGTATTCGTTAGGATTCGGGTCCTCCAGAGCGATAGGCTGACACCTTAACTGTTTGGCCATCCATCTTCAATTATTAATGTTAGGCCAGATGGCCGAGAGGTCAAGGTGCAGCCTGCCGCTAAGAGGAAGCAGGAATAGCAATCGAACCGATCAGGTTAAAAAAATTTCAGGGATTTTTCAGACGGTGGTCCGTCCGGATATGTCGGGTCCCGTCTCTCCCTGCCCATCCACTCCATTATGGGCCTGGCCAAACTCATAATAGGGATGCTAAAAGAGGCCCTCTTAGTGCCCATAAGGCGGAAAAAGTTTAAAAAATTATATTATTANTTTTTTGTAAGCAACGATCAAAACTTTTATGAATGTGAAATCGTGCTACTACCAGAAACGATGACAACAGGTATTTGACCAAAATGGTCAACTTATAATTCAATAAAATATTTATTTATTATAAGAATATTGCGTTTTTTTCCACGGAAAAAAATGAACTTAGTTTCCGAACAACCAAATATATTTATCACTAAAAAGTTTGCATATATCAAATATTTTAATCGTCTTTATCAAATATAGCAAGTCCTCACTTTGTTTCGTTATAACGTCGTCGATAAACGATATAAGTGCACTTGCGACCATTTACAATTATCGTTGCTGAATTTTCTTTTTAAACTTGCGCGGCATCCAGATTTGTTGCTTATCGAGCGTTTGATCAGACCAATTGGGACAATTTTATTTTCCTGTTTTGTGTATGCGACCGGGACATTGCAGCAACAGTTGTCAGAGATTTGCAGCCGGAGATTTCGACCAGAGGTGCTGGCAGCGCAGGAAACTTCTGGTTGCTGCCAGTGTGCTGAAAGCAAACTGCAAGCGTCTTTTTCGGTGCTCGATAGCCAGCAAACAAGATGGCAGCCATCTTGAGACTCTTAAAAGCTCTATTTTGCATTGACGATTTTGAATTTAATTTATTTGTTGATGGATGTACTCTGAATAAATTATTCTCTACTAGCCTAATCTTATTTTAATAAACTAGTATATTTACGTAAGACATTATATAATTTGTTTTAGTTGTTAAAGTGTAATCTTAGGATTGATTTAGTTATTTATAAATCTTGCGAAAATTAAAACTACATCCTTCTTTCTCTTTTCGAAATATTCATTTTAAATTAAGCTGTTCTCATTAAATAAGTTCAAAAACAATTTAACGTAACGTGGAAGTTCACATCATTCGCAATTTTTCTTGTTTTTCTTTCCCGATATACCCGGCAGTCATCGTTTGTGTTCATGAGAAAAGCCAGCAGTTGCGTCAGTTCTGTCAGCATCTCATCGGATTGACAATGAGATTTTGAATACGCCCAATCGTACTTGTTTCACTTACATACATTACTTAAGTTTTTGTTTCAAAAACCTACCATTGTGTACATGGCCGAACCCATTATGGACATAATTAAAAATAAAGTTCTTCTTAAGTGTCCACAAGGTGAACAAAAATATAAAACAAAAAATAATAATAAAAGCTAAACTATGACCAGGCGTAATGTGAGGATCGTAAAAGCGCGTCGAAATTTCGACTAATTATGAAAAGGACCGAAATGCATCTATAGTAACAGAATAAAGTGAAATCATTGGCTAAAGCTGTGTGATAGTCTACCGCCAATATTAAAATTTACATTTTAAGTGCGGATTTACAAAGACTTTACAATATATATATAACAGCAGTCATAAGAAATTTAATTAATAATTATGAAAAGTCCTAAGTCGGAGAGTTTCGAAGATCGAATCGGGTCAAGAGGGTGTGTTGGTGACAGAACCCAGACGGGAAGAAAACTTTCTTACTTATTGTAAAATAAACGCGACGCGATGATAAACGGTAGGGGGGAATGTCGACAGAGATAGAGAGAACTTTGTCGAGATGCTCGCGAACAAGTGTCAGGTCGAAACAATCGAGAAAAGTGGGTTTAATGACTAAAGGGGTATCTGTTAAGCCAGAACGCGTTAGGGGATAAATGGCCACAAGAACATCTGGTAGACCGTTTAGGTTCAAAGATGTCAGAGAAAAGGGCCATAACGGGGTAAAATACGAGCGCGGACTTTAAAAGCTCCGTTATCACCTCTCCGACCTTTTCCCGACCCGGATCGGTCTCGGGTTTCGCCTAGAGACAAAAGAATGACCAATCGGGGTAAGGGAGAAAGTGAACGAGACCAATCAAAAGGGTGATATTCGGGGACAATCCTATAAAACTCCTGAATCTCAAGGACAACTAGTCTATTCTTCTCCGGACAAACGCCACCTCGCAGATCCAGGACCGTCGTCCGCCAGCGGATCACTCCCGTCCCAGCATCACCTCTAGTGCAACAGACACTTCGCCACCCAAGCCCCGAGGCTCGCATCTTCGGATCACGGACTGCAGCCGACCATCATCATCAAGCCGATCTAGATCGCATTGTTTATTGGCATTATGTAAGCTAACTTTATGTCAAAAATAAACGGGTTTTTGTAAGACACTTGTCATCTTTGTCTCCTGCCGCCTCCACCCACATACGATTCGCCCCTAGGTTTTACTCACGCGCAATTAACTTATTGTCCCTAAAAGTCGGCAACCTTACAGTAACCATTTGATCCATTGTCGATGATTATACAAAAACATTGATAATTTTGAAGCCATCGCATAGTACTTCACAGGGCAACAGAATACACCACAGATTACTAAAGGCATAAGCGTGTGAAGACAGTGTATGCATGT